ACTAAATAAACACACAGACTGAAGGGGGGCATTTGGTTTCAGAGTAACAAAAAGAAAACGCATGAAATGGCTGGGGGAATTTAGCTTCAGAGTAAATACAGACACATTAGATGGGGGGAGGGGCATTAGGCTACAAAGTACATAAACGCATATGTGATGATGGGAGCAATTGGCTACAGACTAAAGACACATAAAATGGGGGTTTAAGATGAGGGGGCATTTGACTGCAGAAGACATAAGAGCACATGAGATGATGGGGGACTCTTGGATACATTCTAAATAATGCACTGGAGATGATGGGGACACACTAGGCTGCAGAGTATAAAGGCACATGCGATGAAAGGGACACATGAGATGATGGGGGCACATGGGATGATGGGGACATTTGGCTGCATATATATATAAAGGTACATGAGATGGGGGCACAGGAGATGATGAGGATACTTGTCTGTAGAGTATATAGAGGTACATGAGATGATGGGGGCACAGGAGATGATGATGATACTTGGGAGCGGTGTATATAGAGGTATGTAAGACAATGGGGGCATAGGAGATGATGGGGGCACGGGAGATGATGAGGATACTTGGCTGCGGAGTATATAGAGGTACCTGAGATGAGGGGGAACACAAGATGATGAGGATACCTGAGACGATGGGAACACAAAATGATGAGGTTACATGAGATGATGGGGTAGGGTTGCCACCTTTTCTGCAAGCAAAACCCGAACACTCTAGCGATGCACGGACATTTTTGGGGGGAGAATGAACCGTGGCTTATTCATATATAAATAGCTCCTCCCATTCATATGGAAATATCACAGTTGACACTATTTTCAGTGGGGGGCCAGTAACCCCTATGTCAATTTTGTTTGCCCCTGTCTGCCTGACATCTTATGTCCGGGTTTCTGCTGCCATGAAACCCAGACACAGCATTCAAAACCCGGACTGTCCGGGTGAATCCTAGACAGGTGGCAACCCTAGGATGGGGGCACACAAGATGATGGGGACACGACATTAGACGATGGGGGAACACAATATGATAATACAATAGGATACTGATACATGACATGATGGGGACACAGGAGATGATGAGGAAACATGAGACGATGGGGGAAGCACAAGATGATGGGGACACATAAAACGATGGGGAAACACAAGGTGATGGGGACACATAAAACGATGGGGAAACACAAGATGATGGGGACACATGAGACGATGGGGGAACACAAGATGATGGGGACACATGAGACGATAGGGGCACAGGAGATAATGGGGACACATGAGACGATGGGGACACATGAGAGATGGGGGAACACAAGATGATGGGGACACATGAGACGACAGGGACACAGGAGATGATGGGGATACAGACGATGGGGGAATAGGAGATGATGGGACACATGAGACGATGGGGGCACAGAACAGGAGATATTGGTACACAGTAGACGATGGGGACACAGGAGACGATGGGGGCACAGGAGATGATGGGGGCACAGGGCAGGAGATATTGGGACACAGTAGACGATGGGGACACAGGAGACGATGGGGGCACAGGAGATATTGGGACACAGGAGACGATGGGGACACATGAGACGATGTAGATTAGATTCAGACACGTGACATAATGGGGGACATCTGCCTGCATAGTACGAGGCACGTAGGCTCACAGTGGCATTTCGCTGATGGTCTCGCAGGCTTCGCACAGGGTCGGGTGTCATATTGCACACACAGCCCGGAAGGGACCCAGGATTTGGAATTCTATATCCCAGCCATGTATAGGGAAACATGTGTGGAGGAGACGTGACTGCATACACAAGGATAGACACCGGGGGGTGAAGCTCAGGTGTGGAGAGACGAAGCCACAAAGTAACAATACAAAACAATATTTGATTCTCTCTGATCATTGTGTGAAGGAAGATACGTGTGTAACGCTCATTAATCAGGACAGCGCTTTGTTTATTGGCATTGCCGTGCTTGTAAATTGTGAGCCCCCCTTCATGTTATAATGCTCCCTGACACGGTGCTTCTCATACTCTCAGGCTGGTTTGGTATATCTGCTTCCTGCGGACTACTCTGCTATTGTACAAGACTGCGGCTGTGCGAGCCCGAGTCTCCATTGTGTGTGATCGGATTTTGTAATAGTCAGCGCTTCAATCTGATTGGCTACAAGGGTTGCAGAAGCATGCATCAGTGGGGCTCCTAGAACGCTGCAGCTGACCAATCACGGGTCACTGCACTCTCTACAGCAAGTCAAGCAACGGCTGTATGTCACAACCTCACAGTCAATGCCTGAACATAGGTGGGGGGGGG